GGCTGACCTCCTTCCTTCCTTCAGAGTAGAGATAGGAGAGAACAGAATGGATTTCAGGGTTGGAGATGATAAATAAGATATCAAAATGTTATCACACACTCTGCAGAGGGTTTTTTTTTTTTTTTTGGTAAAATTGATGATTTTTCCAAAGGCTGTTTTCAGCACTTGATCTCTCCCAGATGCAATAATAACTGGATTCCAAGTTGGCATATGGGCCTGGCCCTCCAGGCTCTGATGAGTCACACATATTGAACCCAGAAACAATGCTACCCTCCAATGAAGGGGCATATTTTTTGCCTTTTCTCTTGCTGGGCAATGTGGAGTTCAAACAACATGCACGGGAAGATATAAACTAATAACTCTCAGGTCAGCTTTGTCATTTTATATATTAGCATGCTAGAGGATACGACTTGGAAGGGAACTGCTTCTCTCATTTCAAAGATAAAGATGCTGAAGCCCTGGGAAGTAAATTTGCTCAAGGTCATGTAGATAGGTAGAGGCAGAGCTGGGGCAAGAATTCAGGACACTGGATTCCTAGACCTGCCTTCTGCTGTTTCTTTTATGTGCCTCAGGAGAAAAAAGGATCTTCCCCAAGTGGTCTCTGTCCCTAGGGGCATGATGGGATGAACTAGGGTATGGTTTTCCTTGTTGAATAGTAGATAAGTCATTCAAAAGAGGATGTGGCACATAGTTATGATTTTAGAGTAAGATAGAACTTTCTCATTCATTTAAAAAAATTTCATTTCTGAGGCTGCAGGCAACAGCAATTGATAGCAAGGGAAATGGCCCATGAGAACCCAGGGAAGCCAAGGAAAAGATAGAGATTGAAAAATTTTCTCTCTACCAAAAGGATAATCCAACAGAGAGTTGGCTCTGATTATTCTCTCTGCAGGCATCATTACAGGGACTGACATCAAGAGCAGGGATGGTACATACAAAACGGAGTGTTGCTGCCTCTTGTTCCCATTCTCACAGTGGACTAAGAGACACATTGCTTTTCCTCAGAATCCTTACCAGTGTGCTCCAGAGAGACGCTACCAATTGTCACTTCTTGTAATTGAGATATAACCTATTTGCCTTCCCTGCCCAGGAGAAAAACTGGAGAAAAGACTCTATAGGCTTGAGAAATAGGGTTGACAGGATGCAGGCTAGGTCTACACAGCCCCATAATAAAAAGTATCACTGACCTTTTGGTGGGCCCAGACTGTTCTTTCCACAGGCTGCTCCAGAGGTAGCAGCAGTAACACCTTGGAGGGTTCCTTCCTCCTCACAGGTCTTCAAATGACGGCTCTGTAGAGGGCACTCGGCACAATACCATGGTAGTGTTCTTCACGCTCCTTCTTGTCCAGATGTAGCAAGATGTTTCCCTGAATTGTAGGCCCTGAAAATCCCTGTGCTGCCCCGGCCTGGGCAGTGTAAGATATCTGCTGGCCCTGGTCCTTCCCTGGTGTGCTTCCCACCAAGGTGAAGAAGACCATTTCTGCCCCCAGGATCTTGGAACAGACTGTGGAGCAGGAAGACGGGGTGTAGAAATTTCTCTGGACGATTCACCCCATTATCACGCATTTTTCAATTGTTTCTAAGCTTTTCCTTTTTAATCATGTTTCTGTTCTTTCACAAGGGATCCATTCATCTATATTCATCCAAATAAATTTCTCCATGTCCTCAAATGTTGTTTGGGGCTTTTTGTAGATGAAAACATCCATCCATCTATCCTCTTAGGGTGTGATCTCATATCCTTGAAGACAATTCTCTTTGGGTGACTGGTGAGGAACGGACCCTTTGGGCCAACAGAGAAGCAGCTGCCAGTCTCAGGTTTGAATGGGGAATGGAGAAAAGAGGAACATTTTTTATTTAAGTTGTGAACAAAGAATGTTTTCCTTCCCTGACCTACTTTCTGTTAACCTCCAGCATGACCTGTGAGGGACATGGGATGATCAGAGCAGCAGAGGGCGCTGCAAGTTAAGAAACGAAGGGGCCTACCCCAAAGGACACTGGGAGAAAGAAAAGTGCTGTTTTTGAGCGACAAGAATGATCAAGACCTAGACTATGGGACACATCTTTTGGTCCCACCGGTTCACAGACCCTCTTAAGTGGTGATTTTATGCTAAGACAAGGCAGTCTTGCTTCAAGTGGGACATGGTGCCTGCAGGATACCTGGTATCTCAAGTTGCAGATATCAATATGGTTAAGGGAGAAGGGGTGGAGATATTGAAGGGCACTAAGTAAAAGTGGTTACCATATCTTGAGGATCTCTCCATCCTTGAATTTTGGGGTCACTCAGTCATACCAAAGTTGCAACTTTTGGAAGACCTAAGAACAATAGGCTTGAAATGCCCATTTCTTATGCTCTTAATGCTCTCTGGGATTTGGGAAGAGCACATCTGGCTCAGGTCTGGGGAGCACAGTACTCCATGATAATGTGCTTATGTACTGACAACAAATTGAAGATGCAAAGTCTCTCTTTCTTTTTCTTTAACATTGATTGGTATAGCATGTCTTTTGCCAAGTTTTACAACTTTATATTTTAGATTTATTCAGTAGCTTTTCTGTGAGTAGCTTTGATGAGAAGAATGCTCAGAAACTATATCTATCTGTCTAATAAAATGACAATAGCAACAGCAATACCTAAGACTCAAAATAATTTATTTTCTGGGTGCATTGCATGTGTTCTTTCATTTTATTTCCCAATAGTCCAGGGTAAAAGCTATTGTTATCTTCATTTTATAGGGGGTTAGGTCATGTTGAAGGTCACAAAGCAAGTAGATGTTGGATGTGATATGAACCAGGTTGGTTCCAGAAGCCCCCTTGGCCATGATGCTGTGTGACCTTCCTAAAAGTGCCCTTACTGAAGGAACACCTTTCAAAAAATGTTGGAAGGACACCAGGGCAGGGAAATCTCGATTATGCTACCCCAAGCAAGGCTCAGTGTCTGAAACTTCATATGAAGCATTAGGGGACAGGATGTATCCCTCTGTATGTGAAGGCCCATGAAGCCCATGTCTCCGTTGTTGGATTTGGTCAGATGTAACTGAGTTGGGCAGTTAGAAGAGGAGTAACAGTTCCGCTTGAAAATTGTTTCCTTCCAGAGCCTGGAAGACTGTGGATGGGGACTGAGCAGAGTCCTTGGGCTTGGGAGATGGAAGTTCTGAAACATATTTCTGCCTGCAGTGACTGAGTTCTGTGGAAGGGACCCTGCCACAAGCAGCCTCTGCTCAGGTGAACCTTCCTCTTCCACATCCAGGGGCCCCTTGGATGGTCCTTTGGCTCACTTGCTATTTACTTTGGAATTCTCCATGCATAAGGTTATTAGATAAAATACAGGATTTCCAGTGAAATTTGAATTCCAGATAAACAATTAATATTCTTTTAGCATACTGTGTCCCAAATACAGCACATTCTAAATTTTACTAAAATTTTTATTGTTTATTTGAAGTTCACATTTAACTGGGTGCCCTGTATTTTATTTGCTAAATCTGGCAACATTATCTGTGCCTATGGTGAGTTTTTAAGTGGATAAAGTTGTATTCCTTTATCACAAAAATATTTATTGACTGTCTATTATGTGGCAGACACAAGCCTGGGGGCTGAGGCTATCTACATGTCAGTGAAAACCTAAACAAGGTCTTTATCTTTATGAAGCTTATATTATGGTGTGAGTGTAATGGAAGAAGGAAATAATAAATATATAAATATTTTATTTTTCAGATGGCGATGTGTGGGAAAAGATGAACAGAGATGTAATTGAGGGTGACGATGGTGGGGCAGGCAGCTAATTTACTTGAGCAACTGGTGGAGCCTCTTTGAGCTGATATTTGAGAAAAATTGGGACCAGAGATTTAGCTAGAGAGGTGAACCCGAAGAGGACCAGAAGGAAGGCCACCACGGCTGAAGGGGAGTGAGAGAAAGGAGCAGCTGTGGGCAAGGCTGGAGAGCAGGCAGGGGCTGGATCTTTGCAGGTTGTAGAGGTCCAGGAAAAGAAGGCCAGCTGGCGTCATGGGTTTGCAATTTATAAAGACTCGGAGAATGGATTACCCAGGGACAAGAGCAGAAATAAGGGAACCAGTTAGGGAGTTGTTATCACAGTCCCCATAAGAGATGATGATGGTTGCAGGAGGTGGTGGCTGTGGAGATGGGAGAAGCAGATTGCCTGGAGAGATATTTTTATGGTAGGACTGCAAAGTCTTACTGATGAGTTGACTATAGAGGAAAAAGGGAGACAAAGGAACTCTTACAGAGACTCCTAGGAATACTCCTAGGTTTTGGGGAGTGAGGATTTTCTTTTCTAGAGCAGTGCTTTCCAAATGTTGAGCCATAATTTGTGTGGCATATGGCCACAAGGGGCAAGCTCAGGGGCTCAAGCCACTCCAGGCCCATAGCCACTATGAGCTTGTAACCTGCTTATGACAGGTCCCCCACCAAGAAGCTCTGCTGTGGGGAGAATTTTCCAGCTGGAGCCAAGTGTGGGCTGCCAAGGGCTCTCAGGATCAGGGCACTACTCCAGGCACCCCAGTCAAAGCTTTCCAAGGCTAGGAAAGATGTTAGAAACAATCTTGTCCAATCCTCTTCTCTCCCTCTTTACACGAGGGAATCAGGGAATTATTTATTTATTCCATTTCCTGAGTATTACAAAGGCACTCATTCATTTGCTTCATTTATTGAGTTCTACAAAGTGTTCACTGCTGTGCCAGGTACTGTGAGACGAGCTGCTCAAAGTGTGATTTGTGGACTGATGTACCAGGCTGTGACCAGAAGATGCAGAAATGGAGTATAAATTACTTTTATAGCAATGGGATATCCAAGCATGTGATCACCAAATTCGCAGTTTCTCTATTCCCTCTTTCTCCTTCCTCTCTCCCTCTTTTTCTCTTCCTTTCTCTCTCTCTCCTTTTCCCTTCATATCTTAAAGTAACTCATTTTTGCTGTCAAAAATTGGTTCAGGTTGGAGGGGGACCTACATCACCAACTGCCAGTTCCCCTGGTGGGGCATTTGCCTCAGAGCTACAGAATCATTGAGTCATGTGACCTCAGGGCTGCCTGCTTCCCTCACTTCCCTCCCAGCCCCTTCCTGCCAAAAACCTTAAGAGATTTCAGGAACCCTGTTTTACTCTACATGTTCTGCCCTGACATGAAAAAAAGATGATTCTTATTGTGGGCTTTAGCCTTTTGTTTTTCTGTAAGTGGATTCATTTTTTGGTGCTCCTCTTGTTCTGCCTCCCATTTCTCCTTCTCTGACTTGCAAAGGCTTGGTCTGTTTCTCTTGGAAACTTGGTTTTGCAGTCATTCTCTGCCTCTGCCCTTCATTTGTGTCTTTCTCTTGTCTCTCCCCATTGGGTTCCTCTGAGCTGGGGGTTTTGAGTGGTCTTGGTGGTGGGGAGTACAGAATTCACTATTTTTCTCATTTCTTCTCTTTTCAGACAAAGGCATGCTGTGTAATCAGGTGACCCAGAATTCTGAAGACCAGACGGTGTTAAGTGGCAGGGAGCTAATGTTGTTCTGCACTTATGATGTTAGCTTCTCAAATCCAGATTTGTACTGGTACCGAAAAAGGCCAGAGGGGTCCTTTCAGTTTATCCTTTATAAGGATAACACCAGATCTAAATATGCAGATTTTGCTCAAGGCCGATTTTTTGAGAAGCACAGTCCGACCCAGAAAACCTTCCACCTGGTGATGTCCCAAGTGAGGCTGGAAGACAGTGCCACTTACTATTGTGCTGTGAATCCCACGGTGATGCAGGTGCCCAGGAAGTCTGCACACAAACCTCTGGGGAACAGCTCTGCAGAGCTACCTCTCAGGGAGGGCCACGACCTAGAGCTAGCATCCTTCTCCTGGTCATTTTGTGTTCCAGCCTTGTCTTTAGAGGTGTCCTAAAGTGACTACTGACCAGTTAAAAAACCTGATCACGTCCACAGAAACACCCTGGCCTGTGAGGAGCAGAGCTTCTTCCACTTCTTTTCAGTGGGCTTTTGTCATCTGAGTGACTTGTGTTGGCAAGGGAGAGCTGCAGGCTTGAGGGAGCATTATCTTTGGGTCCCCTAGTCTGTGCTGTGTTTGCTGTGAGGAGGATCAGAAAGGCACAGGTGAAGAGTCAGTCTAAGGAGAGGTCATCAGCAGTACTTTATTTTAACCTCCGTCATTACATTTATTATTACGAATTGATCTGTTTTCACTTTAAGAATCAAATTGGACCAAAAATTCATTTACTTTAAAAACTTTTTCTTGATTTCCCTTCTTTCTGCATCTTGTTATGTCTAGTCACCTTATTTCTCCTTGATATTTTCTGATACCTCCATTTTACTTACCATATTTGGAGAACATGTTTTTTCTTTCATAAAGATCATCAGATTCTCCTACACAGTTATCTCCAAATCCCAGAATTCCAGTTTCCAAGGCCTTGAGTTTGGAGCTCAGTGCTGTGCCCATGAGACATCATGTTCTCCAGGGAAAACTGAGTTGTTGGTGTTGAAATAGATATATCCTCAGTCCCTGGGGCTCAGTCCTTCCTCCCTCTACTTCTATTGGCTTCTCTGTCATAAAAGAACTGTTGGAGTTAGTAGAGATAATCCTAGACATGGAAGAGACCTCAGACATTGTTCTACAGGAAATACACTAAGTCTAGAGAGGTGGGGGACAAATATTCCCAGTGCCTTATAGCTGGTTACTAACAGGCAGGGATGCTGTGGTGCCCGTCTAGGGCTGTCTCCTGTGGTGCACCCCAGGAGGCTTTAGCAGTGGGCAGTTTGGGCAGCAGTTTATCTGGCTCTTAGAAGATAGTAGGCAGAGAGTAACCCTATATGGAACAATGGAAAGAGCATGGGGTGAGGGAGCCACAGGCCTTGGGCAAGTAGTTCATCTCCTGGGGCTTCTTTTCTGCTGCTTACTGAGTGCATCACTCAACCAGCATACATAGTGGCCCCAGATCTGAAGGCAAACAAATGTTCCTTGGCTCTTTCCTTAAATCTCTTCTTTTTTCTTTATGATACTGGGATTGAACTTAGTGGCACTTTACTACTGAGCTATATTCCCCAGTCTTTTTTATTTCTTTTTAATTTTGAGACAGGATCTTGCTAAGTTGCCAAGGCTAGCCTCAAACTTGTGATCCTCCTGTCTCAGTCTCTTAAGTTGCTGGGATTACAGGCATGCACCATAATGCCTGACCTTAAATCTTTACTTGGGGCTCCTTCAAGTGGAAAAAATTCCATGGTCCTGTGATGTACTAGGATATATATATATTTTATTTTTTAATTTATTTTTATTTTTTCTGGTGCATACGCTAAAGGATGGGGACTATAGGACTGTCCTAAAGTGCAGTCTAACTGATATTCAGACTGATTTCTTGTCCTCATTTTGGGATACAATGTGCAGAAATTTTGGACTAACAGTCTTGAGGTCTTGGTTGTGCTCCTAGCTGTATCCCTGCCTCACTGAATGACTTTGGACGAAGTACTTACTTCTTTGAAGGGACAATTTTTTTTTCATCTGTAAAATGAGGATACATTTTTCATTCCTAGCAACTTCAGAGAAATATTCTCATGTTATACAAGGTAACAGGAGTGAATGCTTTGGAAACAGGCATTCTTTATATATACAGGGGGAAGTTGCATGGAATCTTTTGTTTTTCCCTGGACCTGGCGTATCCATCTAGATATCCTAAGCCTATTGTCTCTTAATGTGCTAGGCCTCCTTTCCTTTGGGTTGTGAAGACTTCATGTGGGAGTTTGCAGTTGGTGATGGCAGGGGCAGTTATTGGTGAGGTAAACTCTCTTGGAGAGGCATACTGCTTGCTTGGCACTCCACACACACATACAAGAGGAGGGAACCACAGTACTGTGTTGCTAGGGCTCTGCTACCTGAGCTTGTGTATGTGGACAAAGCTGTGACCTTGCTGAGGTGGGAGTTGCAGGTCTCAGTGCCACACTGCGGGCTCAGCTATTGTTATTGCTCTAACAGCAGCTGCAGCAGCAGCAGGAAACTCAGGGCTGAATTCCCCAGGCATGAGCCTCGGGCTTGGGGCCCAGGAAGCTGTGGTGTGACCTATAAGTGCAGTTTGGCTTTTGGCTGACTAATAGTGAGTTTACACGATCTGACTTTCCCCCCACAGAGGTCTGCAATGAATAAAGCCAGAGGCGAGGTGGCACATGATGCTGTTTAATAAATGCAACTGAGATGAGGGCTAAGACAAAAGGCAGAAAACCAGCAACATTAAAGGCCCATGCAAAAGAATCAGTGTCTGTCCGATGATCTCAAATTCCCTGGGTATAGATTGACAGGCAGAAGATTTTATATATATATATATATATATATATATATATATATATATATATATATATATAATGTCGATAAACAGGGAAAATAGAGGTCTCACTCCTATCCCTCACTCCAAACACACTTGCATAATGAATTGCTTGAAAGCAGGCCCCATATCTTATTCATCTTCTTTCAGTACAGTGCTTGAGACTTAGAGGGAGTCAGTCCATGTATGTTAAATCAGTTAACAGAAAGAAGTGCCTTTCCTTTGTATTTTACTCTGATCTTTGCTAATAGAATGGAGAGTATTTAGATGAGAATTTAAAACCCCATTGCCTGCTTAGAGAGTATTAGGGAAGTCAAATGTAATTTCATTTGTAAAGTACCAGGAAAAGCAGAAAGTGCTGAAATTGGCCCTCCACCCCTTACTGCCATGTCAAATCTCTAGTGTGAATATAGAGGGTGGAGTAAACCACAGGAGAGGAACACAAGGATGCTGGTTTGGGATAAATCTAGTGCTGGGCTGAGCAGAGTCTTCCCTGTGTAGGTAAAGGGACACCAGTTTTCCTCCTCCTGGCCTATTTTCCTCATGGGGAATGGAGTTGGTGACCTGTTGCTCCCCTCTTTCTATTTGTTGAATTAAAGAAAGTAAAAATGGAATGAAAGATCATTTTCAAAGTGTATCAGGTATAGGAATAAAATAAAATAGGTCCTATATATTTTTTATATCTTTCAGTCACTGTATAAAGCAGCATGTAAAATAGTTAGGACCATAAACTCCCATTCCCAGGACTTTTGTTTTCTACCAGGCTAAGAATGAAGTGGGGTTGTTGCCTTTAACGGGAAATTGGTTTGATTAGCAGCAGTTTAAATAAGGCCGAAGCCTAGGAGACAGCGTCTTCGCAAGCTTTTGGTTTCCTTCTGGGAGCGCAGCTTCCTCGTGCCAGTCAGCCTGCAAGTGAAGGAAAGTTGTTATAGAACCACAGTCAGTGAGTCTGGAAGGAGTTGTAGGACTGATTACCTGAGGATGGAGGGTATTTGCTGTATCACTGCAGACATTGCTCATAGATTGCATGTCACGTATCTCTTCTAAACACAGCAATAGTCCAGCTACTCTTACTCAGTATAGTCATGAAACCCATTTGCTATCTTGCAGTCATTCTTAAAATCTGGGTCCACAGAGGTGAAGGAACCTAGCTAACGTAATGCAGTGGGTTAGTGACAAAGGTAGGACTAAAACTTAGGTCTTCTGACTCCTAGAATAGCACTACTTATATACCCTTGCTGCTTGTGGTCCTGGGATTGTTAGTAAAGTGGCAGGTGGGGATGCACACCCATTTGAGAATAACTGGGTATGTTTACTGTTTGGGGCAGAACAGCCCAACACTCTAGGTCTAGGGTTGTTCCTAGAATAGGAGCTGGGACTGGTGAATATTTGGGTTATTGGAAAAAGAATGAGAGATGGGAGCTTCAAGCCTAGTCCCAGGCTTGAACATATACTAGATTGCCTGAAAATGGATGCAAGTAAGAGGCAAATAATTAATATCACAGCCTTGACTTTGTGTGAATGCTGGGTAGCTAACAGTGATTTTTCACTACTAATGGGGGTGCATGTTCACCCTTGAATGTTCTTTAGGTGAAGGAGCTCTACTTATGGCCTTGCAAATAATCCATGATCCCTTGGCTGAATAAACAAAATAATGTTAAAAAGACTAATTCTCCTTATTTAGTTTTGATTTTCTCCCAGGGGTGGAAGTGGTAGTTATTGGCTGGTATATTAAGAAAAAAAATACCTTATAATATATAACAGGTTTTGAGTCTGGATTAAAATAAAAGGATAACAGGAGAAGGGATGTTATACTGAGTGACTGAGATGGCCGGCCTTGTTAATTCTAAGTACGTCTCTATGTGTTATTCCCTTCCCAGGGCTTCTTGGTTTCTTACCATGTCTAAAGCTCTTTCTCCTACGTACAGTATAACTTGGGTGGAGGTGGGAATAAGAAGCAGCTAATTCTTACCTTAGAAGAAAAATAACTTGGCAGTCAAGAGAAAATTGATGGCAATGCTCTTAGCAAACAGCATTCGTAGTCCTAGCACTGTGAGGGACATCGTGTTCACCTTCTCAGCATGCACTGTGGTGGAACAAGAGTGAAGATGGTGGCTTTACAACAGATTAAAGTCCCTCCTAGAAATTGGGTCTACAACACGGATGCCAGCCTGCCCCAAATCACCATAGTTCTTTCTGTCCTGTAAGTTCTGCTTGGAGCAGGAGAGCACCAGGGGCCTCAGGCTGCTGCTCCTACCCAGCCAGGCAAGTTTTAGAAACCCATACTGGCAGCCAGGCGAGCTGTGCTGGGGAAGTCAACCAACTGGCTTTCCCTTCTTTTGACAAGTTTTATTTTCTTTGGTGATCTGTTGCTTTTTGGTCCCAGTTGAGGACTACAGAGTTTACTTCCATCCTCAGTTCTGAAAATGGTGCTTTGACTTGAACTTACCTCTTGGTTTATGGCAGCTCTCTGAAGTTTTAGAATTGTTTTTAGGACTCACTTCATTTTGATTATCTGGAACAAACAGCAGTGGTCAAGGTTACATTGGCAACTGAGAGACTCAAAGGATTTTTTTTTAAACTAAAAGAATTTTTTTTAGTTGTAGATGAACACAATATCTTTATTTATTTCTTTATTTTTCTGTGGTGCTGAGGATCGAACCCAGTGCCTCACATGTGTGAGGCAAGCCCTCTACCACTGAGCCCCAGCCCCAGCCCCTCAAAGGATTTTTGTATTTTAAAAGCAGCTGAGACTTAAGGTAAATAAATTGAGGACCAGGGAGTATAACTTAGTTAAGGTCCTATGGCTGTTTACCCAGCCAGCCTACTTCCTGTTCTGGGCTTTTTGGCACCAGAAGGCCAACATCCTGGCATATTCTAACAGGCTAGAATTCTTAATCCCATGACAGGTTGGGCTGCCCTATTTACTGCTGGAGCAAATTGCACCTGAAACTTCAATGTCAGACCATAGTAGCAGGACAGTCATTTGTATGAAAAAGAATGGTGCAATGGTTGAAGTGCAGAGATGGGGTGAGATGAGACTTTATCTTAGATCCCACCTAGGGATGCAAGCATTTCCTTCCCACTCAATGATGAGCACTCTAAGTTTTTTTTTTTTTCCCCAGCACAATGCTAAATTGAAGATGATATGTCCAGAGTTCAATCTCTAACTTCTCTTTCCCCACAACTTCCCTTCCCTACAATCTCCAGTCCCTTGAAGCCAGATACCTACCAACTGAAGTTGTGTTCAATTCAAACTCAGTGGAGTACACCATTTCACCGTTGTGTTGAACTGAACACCTCACTGAATTTGGATCTTCATACCGACCAAGCTTGACAGCACTGTACTTCCCGCTGGGGGAGACGACTATAGCAGGGTCAAATTCTACTATCTTCTTAGATGATTTGAGATTTATATTTACATCCTTGGGATAGAAATCCTTCACCAGACAAGCAACATTTGTTCCATTTTTCATGATGAAAACGGATGGTTTGGTAGGAGGCTGAGTTTCTGCAAGCATCATCAAATTATTGCATGAGATGATGAATTACAACTTTATAGAAGTTAAACAGCGATGGTTACTTCAGTTCTCCTGGGGCCCAACACTACAATCCAGAGCTCCCTGCATCCTGCTAATGGTCTGGGATTTTTAGAGAAAATAAATGAAAGGTAGTTAATTTGACTTCTATTTAGGAGCTGCTAAGAGATAGGCCTAGAAGCAGAGAGAGAAAATAACAACTACAAAGAAGTTTCTGGATCATCTGGGTTTCAGTTATCTATGACTTTTTAATCAATCCTCTGGACAGTTGAGTTCAGGCTACATATGTGCCTACCTCAGTAGGTTTATTTTAAATGCATAAGACCCTTGGAGGGAGATTGGGTTAGGTTTTTTTTTTTTATGCTATGCATTATGTCACTTGAAGAATCAAGAGTCTGAGAAGGTCTGTATGATGGGTTTAGACACTCTGAGAATAGAAGTGTTGGAGTCACTGCAGGGGGTCATCCCCATTTTATGGACTGGAAAGGATCTGCTGAAGTTGAGTGGCATATCTCTTTGCCTTCAGTATTGTATATTTATTTTTTTGGAAGGATCTGACTACTCTGAAATCCCTTTTAAGTCTTTAATCAGAGAATAGCAACTATTATTCTCAGAAAGTACTTACAGGCATAAAACTAGCTTAAGCCCATTTCTTCTTGTTTTATTCTAGGAGGAGCTGTGGAATGTTGGTCCCAGTAATTGGGTCCCCTACTGGCCTTGTCATCTTTCATGCCTTACCTTGAACTATCATCTATCTGCTACTCTGTGTATGCATCTTTTTCTTTCCTTAAAACTGAAAGTCTTGAAGCTTTGAGAAATGTAGTAATGATTTTTTTCACACTGTGCCTTATTGAAGTTTCTGAATTGTGATAAATTTTGTGTCCATGGAAACTTGGAAGCTCGTAGGCTATCTCATACCATCTCCTGAAAAAGGAGACTTGCTAGTACCTGGAGTTAGGAAAGAAAATCAACCTGAGCATGGCAATATGGATGTATTTTCAATCCTAAGCTTCATTTCTGATTTTCAATGTTAATTGCTCTTATGAATATGGCTTAGTATTGATAATTTTGGAGTGTTTGACTTCTTGATATCCAATGAAAAACATGTTGAATTCTAGTGTGCTTTTTCTTTTCTGTGATCTACAAGCAAGAAATTGGGTATTACTAGAAGGAAAGTCTTGATGGTGAATGTGTAGACAGAGAAAGAAAGATTTTTCTAGTGCTCTGCCCAGAATCTGGATTTGAGCTTCTGCTGTGTGGCTCATGACTGTGAAACTAGAAGAGATCTCCTGATTGCAACTGGTTGAGAAGGAGTGATTGCTGGTCAGGAAGTTCCTGCTGAGCATCATTTAGTAGATAAACTTGGCTGTTCAGGGCTTTTCTAGGGAATAAGCTGTTCAGAGGAAACCCCCTCATTACTGCTATCAAAATTCTCCATTTTTTTTCTCTGCCAAGAAGCTCAGCCAAAAGACTGTATTCTGTTCCAGTCACTCAGGGCTGGAAACTCATCCTTTTTTGGCTTTAGCTCTAGACAAAAGGGGAGATTGGGATTTTTTTCAAAGGGCTTTCCTGGAACTGGCTTTCAACCTGCATGAGAAAACCTTCACTGTTCTGTTTTCTTGCATAGCTGAAACCCTGATAGCAGAAACGGATAACCCTAGTGCTAACGGTTGGAAACCACAGGCCTCACCACTCACCTTCCTTTGCAACTGTGGTATTTCTTGTTCACCATCCTGCCTTGGGTTTGAGATGTAGAATGGTTGGTTTTCAAGGGAATTATGAGTTAGAAAGGATATTTTCCCATAAAAAAAGAAAACCCAAACAACAAACAACCAACCCCCCAAAGAGCAACAACAAAACATTCCAACACTGTCTTCTTGGTTATTTAAAGGATGACCCAATCCTAGTCTGATTTATTTGGACAATAAAGGCTTGCTTAGGATTTAAAAGTCTAAATTAATCAGGCAGTTGCCAATGATCACTTTGGGTTGGGGAAATTGATTTCAAATAAATTTTTTTCAGTACTGGGTTTTAAGACCAGGGACTCTCTACCACTGAGCTACGTTCCCAGTCACTTTTATATTTTTATTTTGAGACAGGGTCTTACTAAGTTGTCAAAGCTGGCTTGAACTTGTGATCCTCCTGCCTCTGCCCCACTGAGTCCGTGGCATTACAGGCATGCACTATCACACCTGGCTTTAATTAATTTGAACCATGTAATATAGCTGACAAGATAGATTTCTGAAGTTCATGCACTCATGATACTGAGCTCTGAATCTATTACTCAGCATTTCAGAAAGAACATAACGTACTGAGTTTTTAAAGCATTTTTTTCTTCAGATTCTCTTTCTAACTTAATGTCTATATGTTCAAAATAATTGAGAGAAAAGTGTTTTATTTGATCCATTACTTGGTATCATGGTAACCAAAGAAAAGGCTCTCTGAATGAACTGAACCTTTCTTTTTTAACTATAAATACAATGCACTCAATGTAGTTGCCATATGTATCCTTGTTGCCTTTATATTTGACTTACACAAAAATTTGAAGTCATATAAAATTTAAGACAAGATTTATTCTTATGTAAGATTTGAACAAAAGGTTTAATTGTTTATCTTCTGAGACTAGTGTCTCTTCTTGTTCCATGAATATAACTAAATTTCACTATGTGTTTAGAGTCAATTTGGACAATTGTTATTTTGTTTTTGTACTTTCTTTTTTTATGAGTAATAATATAACGCTAAGATTATGTGTTGGCAAATAATACAGAAGAAGTATATACCCTTCCTGAACAGTTTTTCTTAATTTATGATATTAGATATCTTCTATTTTAGATTCACATTAAGAATTTTCCTGGTCCTCTAAGAATCACAACATCTGTAATCAATATCACTCAGAATTTCAAGACTGTCTGCCAATATGAAATTTCACTTAAATTCTGAAAGTTTGCTGTACCTGATTACTCTAACAAGCTAACCACCTTTTCCCAAGATCTCACAAGCTGAAGAACATTTGTGATTTGCAAGGAGGCATGCATATTAGTCAGGGATATGTTTAGGATTAAGCAACTTCCTGGAGAATTTGTGCCAAAGTGTTCCTGTCACTATCTTCCCTGTACCTGAATGCTCCAACTATTAGTAAAAAAAATTTTTTTCTCAGATTTATTTTCTGGGTCACACTGAAAATTTCAGTGGTAAGTGGGGACTGTGTTTTAGTATACATATATTTAAAATGAAAATAGCTACAGAGTTTCTTCAGTGGCTCAGTGTCTTCACTCTGGCCCACTTCACCTCTGTACCATACCATCTCCTAGTGACAAGTTAATCTACTTGTTATAATTTATTACATAAACTGGATAGCAGCCCCAGTCCCAGGGCTCAAATTATTCATAGAAATATAGGGGAAAAAATCAACTCACGGGGTTCCACGAAGAGTTCGGTGCCAGTTCCAAAAAACATCTGTCGGGTGTCCCAGGAGCACATTGTGACACTGCCTTACGGGTAACCAGCCTGGGGCTGGTCCTGGGGCCTGGACTCACACATCTGCGCCTTGCCTCCCCAGTCTTGTGTCTCAACCTAGAGACCTGGCAGCTCATAGAACTACAAAGATGCCCTTGATGAGGCCAGGGGTTGAGTAGAGTCTCAGTTCCCTTTGAAGCTAATAATAGTCGAACTGCTGATGGGAAACTGAGCTCCAAGTCCCCATCCAAAAGATTCAGGGACAGAGTTGAGATAAGGAAGGGAAAGTTGTCAGCTAGATGACCGTTATCTGCCTTCAAGATGGAAAACTTAACTTATTGAGAGGGCTCTCCAAGAAGAACACTATAGTTTGGTGTAGAGATGGGGCACTGGATATTGGCATTTATTATAATGAATGCTATGCCAAGGAGAGGAGGGCTGAGCAACAGTCTTGTTCTTATTCTCTGGTTCCCTTCTCTTGGGTTACAAATGCTGTTTTTTTGATTAGAAACCTAATTTCTGCCCATCACTCACAGTGAGTCTCACAATAATGAAGAATCTGCTTTCAAATTCCCTGAGCCTCATGAAAAGCTTTCTAAGGACCTGAGGGTTGAGTAAGAAATTGGTTGCTGTTGGGGGATCCCTTTGGTGCTGTGTGTTGTGGATGCAGGTCAGAAAAGCTGGGGATTGCTTTGGCTTGTTCATTTTTGTTTTATAATTTCTCCTGACTCTGGATCCAGATCTGAGTCTCAGGAGTGTGTTGTAATCATGTGAAACAGAACTTAAAGACCATGAGGATTACTCTTTCTCATCACCCAAACTCAAGAGTCTAGAGAAAGAGCTGGGCAGAAGAGAATGACAGTTTTGTAGAGCCATTATTTGCTGTCAAAACTTGGGGACTTGATTTGAAATTTTCACTTCCCCCACCTGAGCTTCCCATCATCATATTATACTCCATCTCTGCAGGAAGGCAAAACCGGAGAAGCAAATGGAGCATCCTTGAGAAGTGTGGTCAGTGTCCCAACAGAGAAGCTAAGCATCAATTTCATCAATTTCCTTTTTCCCTAAGACTCCCAAAGGCACAGCCTCAAGATTTGATTCTAACACTGCAGATAATTCTGAATTTCAAGTGGATATGATTTAAAGGGAAAATGAAACACAATACTTTTTTGCTCAGATGCAATTTGCCAAACATCAATCAGACTGCAATCAGCTACAACCTGATTCTGTTTCCCTCCTTCTTTTCATTGTTCTAATCTCTCTCCCCTCAAAGTTAAGAAAACTCACCGAATTCTACTATTTCTCTGGAAGAAACAGGAAATGAAATGAAGATAGCTGGAGACTTAGTAAGGGTTTCCTGGGGATTAAGCATTACATTTTGGCAGCTTGTTTGATGTCTATTATCTTCTGAGGGTCAACATTTAGGAAAGTCCCTACAAGTTCACGTTATCCTCTGAGAGGCAGAGACCATGTTGGCAGTACTGGTCACCATTGGGGTTGTCAGATGGCCTTACCACGTTCGTGTTCCTTTACCCACTTCTTTATTCCCTCTCAAATAAACAAAATTATTGTCTAACCATGCAGGAAGTGACACCTGACCCATTGGATTTGTCACTTTGGAAATCATCTGAAAGATTATTGTTCTCTGGCCTGGTCCCAGTGATTGACTGTTGGCAGCCAAACTATTTGAATATAGCCCCTGGATTTCCAAAGACTGGAACAGGTTACCAGTGGACATTGTCTTCAGGATAGCACCATTACGTCTCTATTGTTCTAAAGTTTGTGGCTGTGTTTCTACATCAGATGTGGGTTCCTGGACCCTTGTGCAGAGTCCCCACATTCAGGGCTAACAAGAAGCGAGCATGTAACTGCTCTCTGCAGACCCAGGCTAGGGTGGGACCTTGGGGATCATTCAGTTTGAGAAAGCCAAGATGATTTACTGCACATTCTCAGAAAAAAAAAAAAGAGGGGCAAAGGCAGAATTGGCAAGGCGGGGGGGGGGAAGGAGAGAAAGAGAGCCTTTTAATTTAACTCTTTCATAATATTTCTCTTCTTTCTAACACTCCTTCTTCCTATGCTGTGACCATGACTCTTCCCTCAAAAACAGTGGAGAAACCCTCCTGATCTAGAGCTTGCAAATTTATTATTCATGGAGGTCAGAACCAGAAGCTTGACCTAGGAATTTTTTAGATGGTCATAGAAAACCTATCAATACCAAGACTTAGCACAGAGTTTCCAAGCATACACAGAATATTTTCTTAATAGAACCCTAATACACTTTCCCTCAACTTTTACCTTGACTTTTTGCAACAAACGATGGATTTCCAATTTAGAACCTTCCAGCTTCCCAAGAAGCTCTGTTCATTCAGTACTGGGCTCCAACAACTCTAAGGGTATATGCACACCTAGCTACAGTAACTTGCACAACTTACGTGGCTCCACGATGAGTTCAGTACCGCTTCCAAAGATGAGCTGCGCTGTTCAGGCACAACTCTAGGTCTCAGTACAAAAAACCTCGAAACTATATGCCCCTATTAGTCTGGTTCATCTGTTTGGAAAGGGTGGGTGGGGCAGAATAAGGGTAGCTGGAGACATAGAACTTTGTAAGGGTTTCTGAGGTCTAAGCATTATATTGTGGCAGCTTGTTTGATGTCTATTATCTTCTGAGTGTCGACATTTAGGAAAGTCCCTAGGTTTTCTGTTATTATTATCTCAACCTGCTATTTCTTCCTTCCACATCTTGCTTTAGGATTGTATTTTTGCAGGGAGAAAGGAATCATTTTGGTTTTTCTGTGAGCTGCCAAATGATCATTGTGGGCAGAAACATAACTGTAGGGCTCAGGTTAAGTCAATCACAATAGGACTGTGCCTCAGTTGGAGGGGGGAGGACATTATGGCTGGAGCAAGTGCCACCGACTCAGAAGCCTGGGGGACTAGTGGTTCTGAACTCATTGTGGAGCCAAAAGATCATAATAATCCTAGGTGACTACCATGTGTATGAATACTACTTGACAAACAACTTGTGTCTCTACTACTTCAACAAATGCTGCAACCAACTCCGTGAGGTGTATTATTAGATCCGTCTCACAGATGATGTCCCTGAAGGTAAAAGTGGGTAAGACAATGAGGGCTGAGCTGGGTCTCACTCTCAGGTCTCTGGAGTTTCTATCCATCGAACCAGAGTAATAGGTGACACCTCAGTAGCCTCAGCTGTCACCTGTCCAAACTTCTTTGATCATGAAGGATTAATTAACAGTTACATAGAGAGAATTTTGATCTCTTTTCAGTACTTTTTTTTTTTTTAATTAAATCACAGAATTTCTCCTGGGTCACAGGACATTCACACCACTGGTCTCCCCTGTTTTGCCTACCAAATTATTTCTAAGAATTGGTCTGGGAGAATCATCAGGATTATAGTGTGTTAGAGCCAGCAGACACCATAGAAATTTTTTTTCAGAAAAGTCCCAGAGACCATCAGTCAAAGAGAAGACTGGAACTTGGCCTCCGTGTTTCGGTTTAAAGGCTCTTCGTTACACTCACACATCTGGAAGGATTGTAGTGTGGGGTCTGTTCACAGTTGTGTCCTAGAACTGTGCCTGGTGAGTGTACAGATGGGGAGGAAACAGCTTCTCTAGAGTAGGTCAGGCAGAGAGGAGACAATGAAGGTGCCAGGAAGGACAGTGGATTAAGAGGGCTAGCCGGAGCACACACCTCATCTTGGATTTGATCAGAAATTCACTCCCTGTCCCTCAAACCAACCCTTGCTAAATTACCCATTGGAGGAATTTTTCAAAAACCTGAGAACTATTTCCTAACCTGGAGATTTAGGGAAATATTTAATAAAGACAAATTCCAAACATATTAGTCATAAGAAAGAAAAATAAGTTGCTTATGTGGTTCTAATTCCAAATAGGCTCCTTTGCCAGAGATCAGTATTTTTCTACAGCTGATAAATTTGATCTAATAATCACTTTACTTTTCTCTTTACACAACCCAGTCTGGCCCCAGTTGCCAAGTCACATGATATCCATTAGATGGGATTCTCTGTCCTATCTGGCCCAGTGTCTGTTCCCTTTAGTCTTGGGGACTGTGTTTCAGGTCAAAGCAGCAGAGGACTTCTGGGTCACAGAGAAATCCAAGCTTTTTCCCATGTTACAATCTGACAGAACTTGTGTTCTGCATGAGAGACTGTAGACTGGAAAATTTTTTTTTGTTTTGATTGGGGGTAAGAAAGAGTGGAACAGTGGTCCTAGAGCTGTGGTTCTTCGCCTCTGGGTGACACTTAGGTGGGGTGAAGACCTAGTGGGTTATGTCCTCCACTCATTCTAACCTTGCAGGAATTCCGTTTGCTATTCAGTGGGAAATTTGCATTGCTTCTGAGCGCTGTGCAGCAGACAGACTTCTCAGTACATAATGGAATTAGGTTCTTCAGTCTATTTTAATAATATATTCATGAGTACTAAATTTCAGCGAGCTCTAAGTGCCACACTCACACTTAGAAGTGACAGTTAAATTAGCTTCTGTCATATGTAAAAATCAGCGTCTATGAGATTGTCTGTATGTCACTCACAAAACCAAGGAAGTACTATGCATTTTTTTATAAAGCACTTGAGAATCACTAAAAATGAAGGTGCTTCTCAGCTGTGGTGAAGCAGCAGGATAGGAGATCTGAATCTGTCCCTCCCAGAGTGTGTAACTTTGGCTGAGTTCCTGAAGTTCACTGAGCTTTATGTGCCTCTTTTATAAAATGAAGATACTATCTTCTGTGTTGGTAGGTTGTAAGATTAAATAAAAGGATGTACCTAAAGCATTCTGTAAACTAGAAAGCCCCAAATGTAATTATTAAAATGTTTATTAGGTTTAGACTCAGAGGAAATAAGTTTTATTTGAAGCAGGGGAATGTAATTTCAGTAAGTACAGAGCTCCCTCACAGGAAGGACTGTTGGGAGAGGTTGGAGAGGGAGAACAAGTCCTGCTTCTTGGTGTTCTTTGAGCTGAGGATGGTGCCCACTTTGTAGGGTCATGGTGAGGACTAGAATCAGGTTTCTGTCTTACCTGACTTCCATTTGGCTCTTCCAGTCCTCCCTTTCCACTCTGAAAGTAGAAGTCCCTACACTGGCCTACCAGCCACACTTCCCCACCCCCATTACTAATCTGACCTCATTTTCAAATTCTCTCCCTGGCTCTCTCTTTCCTCCAACCATGGTCCTCCTGACTGTTCTTCACACACTCCAGGCAGCGCCATGTCCTCTGTCTGAAGATCAATTCCTCCAGATAGCTGCTGACTCATGCTGCCACCTCCTCAGGTCTCTGCTCAAAGGTCACCTCTCCAATGAGGACTTTTGTGACTTCTCTAAAATTGCACACCGCTTCTTCCCACTACAGTTTTTTATTCTACTTTCCTGCTTAAAATTTTCCCCACAGAGCTTATTTCTACCTAAAATAATGTGTGTGTGTATATATTTTTTTTCTTTTTTTTTTCTTTTTTTACCCTCTGTCTTATGCCATTGAAAGTAAGCTCCAACAAGGCATGGTTTTCTGTTCTGTTCATGCTGATTTCTTGGTACGTAGAATAGTGCTTGGCATATAGGGACAGTGACACGTCACAGGTTAGAACACAGATTTGGTCCTGTAGGTTTCCAGCTTACTTCCATTTCTATTTCCTTTTGCCTAAACTGCAACTGACTTGTCTTCTGATCGATTCATTTATTCATTCATTCACTCCTGTAACAAACATTTATTTAGTGCCTTGAATGTACTTGTGGATATAGTAAGGAACAACTGAAAAGTCTTTGCTCTCATGGAACAGGGGAGACAGACGACAAATTAATGTAAA